GAGAGCCCCGAAGCCTCACTCAAAGCCTCGTTAAACCCGTCCTGCACTCAGAGTCCTTGTCGTTCTTACCCAAAAGAAACCCGGAACCCAAACTTCTGTGAAACAGCTTTTTGGTGTTCCCGGGATCGGAAAAGAATAACACAAGCTGAAGGCTTCGCGCGCCATGTCTAAACTCACACACACCCAGCCCCCGCTACACAGACCTACCTGCTCACGGACATTCACAGGCTTGTAATCGAGCGAGATGATGTTGGGCAGGGGCTGCAATCCGTACAAGTTTCGCACTCACGAAAGAAAGGTTGATGGATGGACCCCACCCCGAAGTGGGCGCCCCGATGCCACTGTAAATCGTAGGCTCCTTACTCTCAGGAGCCCGTGCAAAGCGGGTCAAAAGGCTACCATACAACCTCAATGAAGCCCCGGTTATAACCGCTTCAAGGCCTTCCCTTCTCGATCTCCCTATTGATCTTGTCCTCCTCACGCCGTCTCTGCTCCTCCTTAGGCCAGCGATTCCGGGCTTAGAGTTTCACTAGGTCTCGGTCTCAACTGCCCAAAATTAGCCATAATTAGGGCTCTATACTGACCAATAAGGAAGATCTAAAATGATACCACATCAATACCTAGCTAAGGCTTTAGAGTTGTGTGGGGGATTTCGGGCCGCGGGCTTTTTGGACTCTCGAACAACCCTCGCCCGACTTGGGCTCTGGAAGGGTTTATTTATCTTTTTTGAGACAGGCCCCTTTTACAACTAGCAGAAGTACCACTCTGTAGTTTTTCAAGGTTTTCGGATTTACGGCTTGACAGGGCTGTGGGCTTACGAGTTTAAGGCTGTTCGTGGCTAGCGCTAATTGAAGCTTAGGAGTTGTGATGATTAGAATGAAAAATTCCAGAAAAAAATAGAAAGCACTACAGCCTGTCAGCCTTTCTAATTGATGTGGCCTCAAGTAAACATTCGCTACTGCCCCTTCCCTCTCCGAAGCATCGTAGGAGCAGTTTTCGACAAGGCCCAAATACTCCAGCAATAGCATGTAGTAAGCGCTAGCAGCAGCAACAGTAGTACTATTACTACTCATAGGTGCAATCCCACCCGGCACAGGGCCATTGCGTCGAGCAGCCCGTAGTTTGTTTCGTTCCACATCTCGCGTCACGTGCTCCTGGTGAAGCTCTTCGAAGCGTTTGGAGTTGCCGGAGCCTGCGCCGGTGGGTGCTGAGCTGGAACGAAACCCAGACTCCCGCCCGCCATGGAAGTCGAACCCACTCTCGGACTAAGCATACAAATCACAACTCCTTCCCCTGACTCTGCCGGGCGGCGACCATGGCCGACGACCTCAGCAACAAAGCTGCATGGCTGAAGAGGTTATGATCTCAGGGTTTCGTGTAAGAAGTTAAACGAGCAAACTCAGAGGCTCGGAACCCGAATGATGCCTTGCGCTACAAACATCATCTAGGGGGCTTAGAGGGGTCGCACCCCCGCAGGCCTGCGAGAAACCTAAACGCATCGACGAAGGGGCTGAGAGGTTCAGGTCTGTAGTTTTGCGGCTGTACCGGTGCTCTGCACGTGGGTCGTTCGATCTCCATAGCAGCAGCAATAAGTCGCTGTCTTGCCGTTTCCCAGAGAGCCCAATACCCCAATACCCTTAATTAAGGAGTATGGCTTAAATTATATAGGGCTGAATGGGCTGATTTAAGCTATATTCCTTAATTGAGGGGTATTGGGCTCTCTGGGTTATCCCAAGGCTGCCGCCGAGATGAAGCACCTTCGAATCGCTAAGTTCCGTCCATCGTCGGTTGGTGGCTCGGTGCTCCCTTCGTGGGAAGTCAACGCAACTCGCCAGACATATGGAAACCAAATAGATCCCCTATGACTTCCGAGTTCCAATCATGAACTTCCTCACGTTGAGATCTGCTGAGTGCAGTCCCGGCTGCCGCTTTCTGAAACTTCAGGTGCTCCTCCGCCTCCTTGGCACGCCGGAGCTCACTCTGCTGCTTGATGTTGTCCATGGCCTGCTTCAGGAGTAAGTTTTAGGGTTTCCTGCCTCGGGATTGCGTTTAGGGTCGCGTAAGGAGCTGCGGGCTAGTTCTGCCTCAATCGATCCAACAGTCGAGCTTAGATTTCATTAAGGGGCGTTGCCGAACCAAGTTCTAGGTTGACGAACTGGGCAGAGCCCAAAACATTAACCTCCTCACAGAAACAAGCTTAAACATGGATGGGGCGACCAAACATCTTGAAACAGCTGCCCGGGGCCCGAGACTCAGAGAACACTAGCCTTCCAAACTTTGTTTTTTTTGGGGGACTGGCATTCTTCCGCTCTATGACTTCTAGGATCAGGGCTGCGGCATTCAGGGTAGCGTACAGGTTCTGTCAATGGAACCGACACCGAAAAGCAACCAATGAGGACCTGGTGGTAGAGGCGATGCTGAGCCGTGAGTGACCCGGTGCTGCCTTGCAGAGAACTACGTCGCTTTGTTCAGAGAGTCAAGAAGACACGGCTCGAAAGGCTAGCAGACTCTTGTTACTCGGGGCTATCCCGAAGGAAATCTAACACCATGTCTTCCATGGATCTAGAATGAAGGGTCTAAAATCAGCCTCGGTCGCAGGTGTTTCTAGTTCGTGCCCTGGGCCCTGACGCACAAAGATCCGAGTTTTCATTGCATCGGCGCCCACTCACTGAAGCTGACAGAACGATGCCTGCAGGAACCTCAGTCCTACGAACAAACGAAGGGCGTCTTTGCTGAAAGCAAGCTTGCTCCACAATCATCGGACTCTTAAAGCTTGTTGTAGGGGGCTTCCTTTTTGGGGTTCGCATATAGAATCCTATAAACCCCAAAGAAGGAACTACTTTGGGGCCTCTGGGTAGTTACTTCCGAGCCCGAGTTGCTGCTGCGCTTGGAAGCCCCACGATCAGCCATCTCCTTCGCTTCCCTCACCTCATCCTGAAGATGCACTCATGTAGTGTAGGAACCTGATCAAGAAACCTTGCGCCTTTATTCGGATTCTTTATATGAACCCTACTATTTTGGGGTTTTAGGACAAGGGTTTCTTAATCAGGTTCTTACATTAGCTTTGAATAACGCAGCCGGATGCCTACAGAGCCTCACCCACGACATCTGGCGACATCAAAGGGAGGTAAACGGAGATCCACCCCTAAACCCTAAACCCTAAACGAAGTGGGCGATTTCAAATTTTCGGCGCTCACAACTCGAAGAATCCAGGCGAGGCGAAGGGTCACGGGGTGTGGAGTTTTGACAACCACCCATATGTCTATAGATTAACTACTTAACTTACTTACTACTGTTGATGATATAAATCCTGCATTACCTTAAGGACCCTAGACTATGGGAATTATGGTATCTTCCTTCTACTGGGTAATGCAGGATTTTTATCATCAACCGTAGGTCCCCCGACTCCCGCCCCTGCAAGTAGGGTTTAGGGCTTTGAAACAACTTGGCCCTAGCGGTCCTCGCTCTTCTTCTTGATCTTCCTGAGCCCATGAAACCCAAACCACTTCATCGCGGCACACATGCTGGGCTGCCCACTGAATCAAGTTTGATTGCCTATGTCTAGCAACACCACCATCTCGAGACAAATGTCCCGAGCCGGGCTGTTCGTTAAAACAGGCTGCTGACACTAAAGGGAACTCCAGAAAGTTGGAATATGGTTTCAGGGTAGGATACCCTATAATTTACCATAAAGGGTTCAGGACAATCATATTCCAACTTTCTGGCTGTTACTTTATTGCAACCGACGTGCTCACGAAGCTGCATCTGCTTGTTGAGGGCGTGGTCGTGAAGCCGGTTCCCGGCGTTCACGGACGACACCATCTCGTTGGCAGCCTGAGCCATTATGCTAACTGCTGTATTTTGTTAGCCGTGCGTTCATTACGCTTATTTCGTTTCCTCACCCATATTTTCTCAGCTTTTGTGGATGAGTTCTTGTTTATATGGTTACTTGCTTCATGCGGTTATAGTGAAGGGGTGAAGGAGTGGAAGCACGAACCTATTGAATGAACAACTAACCGAGAAGTAGACAAGAATTCCGCAACAAATGAGCCACACTGAACGGTCAACAACTAGGACACAACAGCTCACCGTCTACAGTAATTCATTGTTCGTTCGCCTTTCGTTGCCAAGCATGAGAGGAAAAGACGCCGGAACGACACGTATGATTGAATGACCAAGGAACAGATGGCAAATTCTATTTCCTATCTCCACGTCTAATTGGTAACCTATAAGCCTATAATGTAACGGCATCCTGTAAAACACCTGGATTTAAAATTGCATCCCAGCTACAACACAGGCATTGGCGCAGCTACAGTACATGGCCAAAGCGCCTGCAGTCATCAATGTGAAGCCTTCGATAGGTTCTACGCCTGGCTCAGGTTTGATGTTCATTACTTACTGGGTGTGCAGCCTAGTCTCATGACTTCTTGAAAGGCTGGACACACCTCGCGAAAACCTTGTTCACACCTACATAATCCTACATATAGGCTGTAAGTGGACAGGAAGACGGTGCAACTTGAGATTCGTGCACGGACATTCCGGGCCAGCCGCTCCGATCTCGCGAACCACCGCTCTGCTAAAGATGCCAAGGAGCTTCAGAGTGAGATTTGCTGAAGAAGCGCTTGTTTTCCTGGGCACCAGATATTGGCAAAGCAAATTCAGCATTTTAGCTGGGTGTGGGAATCGCGTAAATCCCGACACATTCTAGTGAACCATAATCCCTCTACACCCTGAAGCACGTGGGTGATTTCCTTATGCTCAGAAGGCAGTGCCCACTTTCTTTGGCGAAACAATCCGATCTCGAATTGGATCGTGGTGTGGGCTTGAGTAGGCATATGATGGGTCTTAGGACTGACAGAACACCACGGGCCCGGCGAACAAAATTCCATGGTCTGTTGGCGGCACCCGGGCTTTGAATTTTGAGCTTTTGGGCCCGGTGCGGTGAGCCTCAGAGGATTAAGCACCTACAAAGCTCGGGGTTCTTGGTGGTTTTGCATGACTCAGGAAACCTCAAAGCCCAACCTCAATCCAGCTCCGTGGAAGCCCCGCGCCTCCTTGGAGCGTAGGATGACCTGCTCGTCCTCGTGGTAGGTGTTCAGCTGATGCTCACGACGCCGGCGCTGGCGAGCCTGCAATTTCCGGGCTAACTCTGCATATAACCCGAAGGCTACAGTAGTGGCACTTTCTTGCAGGAAAACCTGCATTTTTTCCGAGAAGCCTTTGTTGCGGATCTGAGAACTCAGGCAATTTCAGGTCCATGTGTTGCAACTGTTGCGCCGATCTCCGGCCCGGTTGAATGACGAAGACGTGCAGATAGGTCATAAAGCCACACTAACATAGGAACCTGATTAAGAAGCCTTGGGCCTTATTTAGGGTTCTTAAATGAACCCTACTATTTTAGGGGCTCCAGGCCCAGGATTTCTTAATCAGGTTTCTACCTTAGCTTTCACTGTGAATGTAGTATATAAGCCGTGCACATGCTTTCCAAACAGCCAGCAGTAACAGCTTTTGTGTGAAGGGACTGAATCACAGGCATGGTGTGCCAAGTGTTGCGTTCGAACTCTTCTGCTGCCGGCGGTTCGGGTCCGAGCAGGACCAAAAGCTAACTATGCGTTTTATTTTGCGATATGCTCTTTGCTGCTCGTCCGCATCCCCCTGGAATTCAGCAGCCCCGCCACAAGCCGTGCCACTATCCAATGCTGTTTCAATCTGCACTCCCCTACTTGGAGGATCAGGGGACTTAGTAAGTAGGGTTATAAGTACGGTAACCATAGTTATATCTACTTATAACCCTAATTAGGTACTTAGAGCCCTACTTACTAAGTCCCATGATCCTCCAAGGACTAAACGCATCCACGCTCATGACCCACGCATGCCTTGCTGTCCCGATACAAGCCTGGGCAGACTGGGCTTGTCATCTGCAACGTCCCAGCCCTACGTTTGCCCAGACCACTCATCGGAAATGCTGTCCATTAGACAAGGGCTTCGTCTTCGCGATGTTCACAGGGAATACGTATACGTCTACGTGTAAATGTATTTCTACATACACACACTTGTATGTGTGTATACAAATGTAGCCGATGATCGGCTCTGCTCCTCTGCTGGCATGCAAGAAAGTGGCGCTCGGCCGCAGCACGGGGACAAAGATCCGCCTGCTTGACGCTCTTGCTCCTCGATTCAAGGCAGCCACAAAGATTGAAACGCACCGACTGGAACCCAGCATCAAGCAACACATAGCATCTGAACAGCCACTGTATCCGTAGCATTAACAACTGCAACTTATTGACCCTCAACGTATCCGTCACGGCAACAAGGGGTGCCCAGAGTATCGCCGAAGGCACAAAATTACGAAGAAGTGCACCCTCAAGTACTTGACTCTGGGACCCCTGATTAGGTCTACGACGTAGTCGGTACGGGCCCAACGGGACAGGTGAGGTTTGGCTGACGCGCTCTTCGGGTGTAGGTACTTCCGAACCCTGGACTCATACTTTGTGCTGCAGGCTTGATCAGGCTTGCACGCAAGGACGCCTGGTTAAACATTGAACTAGACTTTGCCCAAACAACCGACACTTTGCGCCTGGACTCAAAACTAGCCAGACCACGACCTGCAATCATACCCCTAATAACCCAAACTTCAGCCGAGGCGCCTGAGCTTCTGGGCCTCCTCTTGCAGTCGGCTCGCATACCTTGCGTTCCGGGTTCAGCTGGATTCGGCCTTGACACCAACACCATCACCGGCAACGCCCCGCGCTTGGCCTGAACCCCCCAAAACCTCGGAGGGTTGGGTAGTGAAACAACACGAAACAAACTTGGCGTTGCGTGGAGACAGACGAGTAAGCCCACAAGAAGCTTCTGAATCCGAAAGCGATGAGCGGAGGCTTGCCGGCCAAAGACTCTTCTTGTTCTCGCAGCCGTCGCTCCTCTAGCCGCTTTTGCTTGTCCTTGGCTTCGGAGATTTTCGAAATGGTTGAAGGTTTCGGGTCCATAGCCAGGTGAGGCAGGTGAGGCCTCGGTCCCAGTCGGTCATCTGTAGATATCCGGCCCGTAGGCCCTAGGGCCCTGTCATACTGCTCTTAACGGCCAAGCTGCAGTAAACAGCTGCATATTGAAGCCGCTACAATATGAACAACAGCCCACATGCTGAGCAGTATGATCCAGGCAGAAAGTGGTCATTGCGGTGTTCTCAAAGCCTCTACAAACTCCCATGCTGAGAAGCCAAATCCCAGCGAGGCCAACTTCTACAACGAAGAGATTTCGGTAGGTTCGAAACTAAAGTGCGCATTCTACAGTTTCCGACACTCTCAGGACTGAGGACATGATCATCATCAGTGTCATTTTGGGTGGGGAGTGCAAATGTCTACTGCAACAAGGACCCCGCCGCGGTGGCTTTGAGATTAAGCGTGGCGTAGCAGTCGGCAGTCGGGCATTGACAAAACTTGCAGAGACAGTGTCCGACATGAGATTAAAGAAGAAGAAGACGAAACACTCGAGCTGAGAATGGAATAGACAACCCGACACGTGTGAACAAGTCGGGGACAAGTGTAAACCTATACATACATATTATAAGTATATACATGTACCATCATATGGTACAGAAAGATGTCCTATACCCCCAACTTACATATTACATATCATTACATACATTCGATGCGCTGCCTCAGGGCCTCCACACCGCCAAAAACGCTGCCAGGCTCCACAAAGCCCAGACCCGAACGCTGAACCCCCGACCCCCCCCCGCCGCCCCGAAGCCCACATGAGTCTCAGACTCTCAGATGTGGTCTCTAGCATCTCTGCCTCTTGGGGCCCGGTGCAATCTCACCCCCCAACTATCCAAAACCTGAGCCCAAAGGGAAGACAAAAACAAACATCCTACGGCACCCTAAACCCCAAAACCTGAAGGCACCGACGTTTTAGCTCAGCCATCCAACCGCTGCAGCCCGAGGGACCGCGTGAAGCTGGTGGAGGAGGTCCAGACGTTTCTGCGTCTCTTCCGGGTCCTCATGCCGAGAAATGCGAAATTTTTGCAATATTTAGTTACAACAACTAATTAACATCATAACAGTCACAGTAGCATGAGCCGACATGATGAACCGACTGATGAATATACTAATTCCCTCATCGCAGGCAAATATGGAAAAATATGGTACTGCTACCGCGGAAAGTCTTGATCTTCATGGAATTTTGTGATGACCGGCGACTGCATCATACGCGGACAGTCTATGATATTCTACGATCCATAAACTCCCTTCGATCCATAAACTCCTTTCCAAAGCAGCTACAGGTTGCTTGCATTAGTTTGAATGTACTCTGGAAGGAGGAGAGAGTGCGCATTGTCCTGCCGGTTTGGGCATGGCATGTATCAATGGGCCATTCCCGACTCTGGAGTTGTTTGAGCATTGTGGAAAATGGGTAAAAATAGACATTGATCTTGGATATTTGTGCTATCATGAGTGAATAGAACGCTACCCGGGTTGAGGGCCCGAAGATCGAAAGATGATCACCAACCCCGAACAGCGACAGTCGTTAAAATGGTTCCCCTCCCGACAAAGGTCGCATCCCACTGACAATGACTAAAACTCGCACTGCAAGACTGCATCTTCCACCTGCAAGAGCTGCAACATCGAATCTCGAACAGCCGAAGATTACGTAATTTCTTGCAGTAGATGATGTCAGGGCCACATTAAATAGCAGCATCGAGCAGCCATGCAGATTTGAAACTTAAACACAGAACCACCCATCTCAGAAATCGTATAGGAATAGTTGTATAATATGACAACGATCAAGCCTTACCCTCAGCATCCTAGAACTCGACACTTTGAATGTCGGATTCCTGTCGCCAAGAAACAGCCCGACAGAAAAACATATCCTCAGGTACACAGGGAGAATTACCATCACCCTTGACGTCGCCACCAGCTTCATCATCAGCACCATGATCATGCGGAGGATGACGATGGGTTGTAGTGCTGCTGCTTTGATTCCAGATCCCACGATTGTGCCACTAAACCAACAGCAGCTTCGAGCTTAATCTCACTTGCCCCCTCTTGCCCCTGTCCTTCTTCTGTCGGGGCGACCCGATGGATGCAATGTGTGAATCCGACCGGGCCAGGGACACCTCTGCAGAAGCCCAGAGAGGGGTTGAGTTTGATTTTGGGTGAAGGCAAAGTAGACTCAGATTGACATTAGGGTACTAGTATATTGGTCGTACTTCATAGTAGTAACTAGCAATAAATAGCAGCAGTGGTAGCAGCAGTAGCTAGTAGCAGCAGAAGTAGGCAGAGGAGGAGCAGGAGGAAGAGGAGCTTTACAATCTCGAACTCACTTAACACAAGTGGCCTTATTTCAGACGTTGCGATTACCTGCATCCGAAGTCAAGGAGCCAAAGAAGCCTCCAGGCTCCAGGGACAGCAGTCCCACTCTACCCACTTTTTTTGACGCTCACACTCGGCAATACCACCTACTTTTAGGGTGGGCGGGTGGCAAGCCAAAACAAGTGGATGCAAAAGCTACCGCCACCAACCAAGATCGGACTGCTGGAAAGTTGTGCCCTCACAGCTATACACAAGGCGTGCGCTCGAGATGGGGAGCGCCGCAGTCACGTATAGAAACGGCACAGCGAGTATCCGTTGTCGTGGTAGTATCGGAAGTGCTAGTGATAGTCCTAGTGGCAGCCGTGGTAGTGGTGGCAGTGCGTACTGATGGTGGCAAACGAGTTGCAGTTCGGATGCAGGGTCCGGCCCCAGCCGCATCGGAATTGAGGTTTGAGTCCGGGGGCTTTCAGGGCAAGAACATACGATGATCCTGAGCTTACGGCTGGAGATTTCGACTCTTACGGATTCGCAAAGAGGGCTCCGTAGCTGTCGTCTCCAGAGCTCATACCCAATGGCCCTAAGACCAAGAGACCGAGTCCGCTTAAAACAAAACGCCCCTTCTGAACCCTAAACCCTAACCCCGTAAAACCTGAAGCGAGGTGGTGGCCTGGGAGGCCTGCTTCCGCAAAGCTCCAATCTCAGGAGATTTCCTTGGGATCCCGGTTTCGGGAGCGGCATCGGGTTTGGGGTTTCCATGTGCTCAGGCGGCAGAGAGAAAAAGAGACAGAACGAACGAAAGACGAAGAGCGAGAGAGAGAGAGAGACAGAAAAAAAAGCGCTGTCTTATCGCATCGAACTTGCCACTGTGCCTCATAAAGCAGTTCATGTTCCCCGAAGCTCCAACATCCTTTCATGATGCATTTGTGAAGAGCATAGGGGGGTTCTCCAGGGCGGCCCAGCCGCAGCTTCACTCGCAAGCGCACAGTCGCCCCAGTCGACTCGCCTCTTCGAATCCAAACTTGATAATCCGCGAAAGTCGTCGAATTTCGCAGAAGTGGGCCGCGCGAAGCAATCCCAGAAGTGAAGCTTGCTTAGATTTTAGGTCTGGCACCGACCTACACGTTACAGTCGCTGCCCCACCGCGGGGGGTAGCTTTAAAAAAGACTGGGTGGCGTGTCGGGTTAGGGGTAAAGACTTCGGTCCAGCAGTCACTCTAAATTGTGATCACTTCCTGCGCACTTTCAACTCTGGTGATTTTTCGTGTAGTACAACGTGCGAGAAAGGATGCGTGCAGTTCATCAGATGATAACTCATGTCCCGTCCTGCCTTCCTTGAGCAGTGGGAGAATGTGAACTTCCTGAATCATTCAGTCAAGCAAAAGGGCAAGTGACGTGGAGCCACATGGAGAACTTTCAATTATCTCTGCTTCGAACTGCTTTGTGCATGCCCTGATGGATTCTGGACACCCAGCTTTCCTCACCAAACCTCCGTGACAACCTCCAACCGTCATGATGCTTCGGCTCCCCTGAACCCTTGAACAAAACTTCTCCAAGCCGCGTGATGCTTCGGATCCTGGACGTCTATTTCGCATGTTCCGACCAGTTCCTCCTCACTGCCAGAGCCATGCCTCCCAATGATGCCTGGCACGGCTCAGCTCAGACACAGAAGTCTAGGTGCCTCAATGGTTAAACTAGGGCTGGGGATATACCATGCGTAGTAAAAGTATAGTAGGGACCCTTGCGGGATATCAGTGCTCAGGCTTCTTTGTCTTGAATCACAAGGCACCCGCTCTGGCCCCAAAAGCTCTCCCACGCCCACATCCCGAAACTTGTCCAATACTTGCCTAGCCGACACCCTTTGAGCACATCGAAACCCAAAGGCAAGCAATGGCATCCGAAGCCCACCCCATGCCCAGGGACAAGTTGCTAAGGACCGCGACGTTGACGTCCTTCTTCCCGATGAGCTTTAGCTGCTGCCTCTGGCGGCTTGGGACTTCGCTTCAGACTCGGCTGAAGCCGGATTGAGAATTGGGCCCTCCCCCCCAAGCCCCCTCCTCGAAGCCTATTTCATTTTCCAAAGTCCGACACCTCCACGACGATTTACCTCCCAAACCCGAAGCTAAAACGAGATCAAAGCGCCTGATCGGACAGTCTTCGGCTGCAGGTCCGCTCATGCTTCCAGGCCGCGCATCCGTCTTGGGCCCTTTGCCTCAAGCAGGGAACCCTGAAGCCCCCCCCCCCACTCCCCACCCAAAAGCCCCCCAAGATACCTCTGATAATAATAGTAATAATAGTAATAGTAGTAAGAATAGTAATAATAGTAATAGTAGTAATATATTAATAGATATTCATTGAACCCTAAAAGTATAGACCTTTCGGTTCAACAATGGACCTTGCCAGGACCCTGCAGCCTCGCCTTCCTCTGGGTACTGAAGGTCCACCGGACGGAGGCCGACAGTAACCCCGTGTAGAATGAGGGTTTAGGGTTTAGGGGTTCAGGGGTTTAGGGGAAGCCACAGTCGCCCGGAGTCCCTATAACTCAAGAGATCCTGGCGGCATATGGGTGCAGCAGTTTTTGAAGACACGGTGGCGGCCGCATGCGAAAGTCTTGCAAACTTGTGCCATACTGTGGGGCTTCCACTCTGGTGCACCTGTATGCTAGCGACATCGCAAGACCGCAGAAAACATTCTCTATTTAATCATACAGTACTGGTTGCTGCTTGCCTTTTCACACCCTACGCATGTCTGCAAGAGAGCCCAGTTTGGAACGTAATACGACGAAAGCCCAGCTAAAAGCACGTTAACGGCCCGAACACAACCCAACCCAACCCCATGATACGAGATGTCTTCCAAAGATTAACGTTTTTATCTTCTTTATTGTGTCCGTAGTACAACAGAAACCTCACAGGGAACCCATGCACAGACAAGCACAGATCAACTCGACTGTTTTAGTTTTGCAAGACCAGGGGCCATCGTCACCTTTCCATCGGGCGCGAGCGATGTACATCCCTTCGGTGGCGTTCATGCTCGAGATGTGCATGACCGTATCCTGAGATGTTCAGCGCTTGTTTGTCGGGACACGGTCGTGGGGTCAGGGCTGGAGGATTCAAGCAGTCACTGTTGAAACAAGCCAAAGCTGAAGAGGAGGATGCTACCAGCAATCATGCGAGAGACGACCTGCAGCATTGCATTGTCCAAGATCTGTTCCACCTGTGCACTTGGGAGAACTTCTTCCGGCCGATTCTCTGAGGCTCATCACAGGCGTGCCGCTTGAGTTTTCGGCGTTTTTGTTTCGGCCTCTGGTGGATTCTGGAGAGTTCCCTAACACGGTGCATGACAGTGCCGTTGACCAGGCTTCCCCAAGGCCATCGCAGAAGGTCTGAGCCACTGACTCCCGAAGCCCCGAAAGCGTTGACTACTTGATGCGGGAAAGCCTCAGCCCTATACATTTTAAAACTCAAACTTTTAACCCTGCAGTCTACGTCCGAAAGCCGCCTCCTCCTCAATCAGCACGTCTTCACCTCGAGCTGCCTTCTTCATGGCTCGGTCCAGTTCCTGCAGGCTGTCTTTGAGGTGATGCTGGCTCTCGCACCGCAAGCCACGGCAAGCACGGCAAGTCTTTCGCATGTTGGGGATCTGCTGGCTGCTGGCTGAGGCTTTGGAGTTCAAAAGCTGTGGTTGGTACCTTTCGTAACCAGACAGCTTCTGCAAAGTGTGCAAATCCCAAATTTCCACACAATCCCCAGCGGCAAACTCGAAAACTTCCTCTCTGCAGGCACGTCCTTGGTAGAAATCAACTCGTCAGCTCCACCAACTACACGAATGAGCTCTTTGAACTCATCGTTGCTGCAAGTGAACCTGGGCCAACCCCAACTACTACAGTATAGTGTTTGTTGATTCAAACTGCGCTTTCGTCGAGCACGCCACAGCTGGGTGTCCAAAAGGTGTGATGCATCTGGATGCCACCGTCGCACGGACTTTCACTACAGCACAGTGAGACTGAGACTTTCCTGGGGATACACATGGATGCACTATTTCTTTAGGGACGAGTGCCCATCACCAGTCGAATTCAAGTCAGAATCAGAATGCTAAACCCTCACTGTCCCTGAACTCTGAACCCGACGAACTGGTTTCATTAAGAACGGGTCATGGAGCTCTCTAGAAGCCCCCTAGATACGATGATTTCGGGTTGGACAAAAGGTCCCATGTTAAGATTTGTGCTGGAAACTTGTGTTTTATGCCCGGAGAAACAGTGCGCAAGCTCTGCTAGTACCACAGGATAATCAGCACCGATGCAAACGTCGAGTGATACATCGTGACCACGAAAGGCCAAGACTTCATGATCAGGCAAGTATACTTGAGGTCATTTCAGGCTCCCTCTATGATTTGTCGTAAACTGCTCTGGTTCAAGGGTTACACAGGCTCTATGGGACCACGTCTCGAGCATGCTCGAGCCAGGTAGCCCGAGATGTTGCTCCAACCCACGTCGGAACTCCGTTTTGTTGACCAGACCCTCCGGGTGAGTGCTCCTTGGGTTGTCTAGGGCTCAAAGCTTGCGGACTCATGTGAGCTGGCGACAGTTCAGCACTCTGGCGCTTCACGATTCGGGTTTTCAATGCGTGTGAGACTTCATACAGTAGCTCAACACAGGGTGCGTGGGGGGCTCAATCGGACTATGCATCTTACTGTCCCAAGTCTTGCTGAGACTTGAACTCTTGTGCCGGGTAGACACGTAAAAGTCAACTTTTTCGTATTTCCAGCACTGTTCTGCTGGGCCCTTCCTGCCTCGTGGCTTCACGTTTGCTACTTGCCCACACTGCAGCAAGCTGTTTGTGGCCGCTTTCTCCGCTGCAAAGGAACTGGAAACTGCAATAAGCACACAAAGAAGAACCATCCTCATCATCATTGCCATCATCATCTACGTAAACATAACTGTCTATACATAAAGATAACATGTAACACCACCTCGCACGTCGGACAGACAGACCGACATGCGACATGCATTCATACTGACTTCCTTCCTTCCTAAAGTGCTCAAGGAAACAACAGAACTAAACATCAACAATGAAAAGAGAACCGAGCCATCAAGTAACCGCGCACAGGTGTGTGTGTGTGTGTGTGTGTGTGTGTGTGTGAATGTGTGAATGTGTGTGTGTGTGTGTGAATGTGTGTGCGGTGCGTGTGCGTGCGGGTGTGTGTGTGTGTGTGTGTGTGTTTTTGTGTGGACTCTACACCCACTTATACATATAGGTAGACTTGCAAGCTCACATCGACCTACTGTATCTACTTCCTGTATCTATCTATCGTGTGTAACCATAACTAGTATCGTTATGGAAGGTTCTATGTGGATACAAATATACGAAACAAATGAAACAGTACATAAGGAAATAGACAGGTAAGTACGGACAGATATATGCATGCACACAGACGTAGACACCGATATACATATAAATATGTATATGTATATGTATATGTGTATATGTATATAAATATGTGCAGTATGTGCGCATATATACATATAGACACATAGACACATGTGCATGCGCATGTGTGTGTGTGTGCTTGTGCGCGTGTGTGGGTGCGCATATGGTAACTACATATACAGCATTATATTGCTACACGTACGTCAGGACCATATGGTAGTTTCCGGGACGCAAATATAGTACCCTAAATAATAGGATCCTTATTATAAGGACCCCAAAATAAGGTACCCGCAATTTTCGGAAACTCCCATATACTAAGTCCCATGATCCTCTAAGTAAACCCTAAACCCTAAACCCCATAGTTCCCTTTAAGGAACCCTATAGATCGCTTTAAGGATCGTATACTAAGTCCCATGATCCTCTAAGTACACCCGAGGCTCACCATCTGCCTCATGAAGTCCACGGTTCGGAGTTTACCTGGGGCTTCTGCTTTCCGAGCCAAAGGGTTCCACCACCCTGGTACCTACTTTGTCGGGTATCATGGGAACTAAAGGTTAACCTTTTTGATTATATGGGGTTATATAGGGATGATACTACCCCAAAAAAGGTTAAAGGCTACCTACTCTACTACTATAGGGGGAGGGTTGAGCCCTTGGGGTTCAGGGGTTTAGGACGATTCAGGGGCATAGGAGTCTAGGAACTGAGGGTGAGATTAGATAGTTTTGGTGCAATGGCTCGTTTTTGGAAGAAATTGCGAGTTGGATTCAATGGGTCGATTGGGATTCGGGAAGCTGGCTGATTCGAAGAGCCGAGGGATAAGCCAGGAAAACCTTGATCTGCTTCGAACCAGGCCCAGGCCCCTCAACCAAAAACCAAGATGGCTTTACATACCCTAGGGCTTAACTTCGAGAGGAGTCTTCGCCCTAATCCTCGCCAGGGGACGGTGATCCAGCTGGTAGAAAATCGTGAGGAGTGCCTGCGTCGCCCGAGACATGCTCGAGGCGAGCTTCGGATCCTTGCCGGCTGAAAAGGCTTACCGTTGGTTAGTAGGGAATGGAAGAATGGTAGTATTAGTAGTTATAATTATGGCCCATGCCTCCATTCCCTACTAACCAACGGTAAGAAGGGCGCCGAATGAGGGCGAGAAGTCTATGAAAATACTCGGGCATGTAGGCTCTAAAAGTAGTGAAGATTCAATGCATTGCTGTTGCTCAGTATGATGCCTACGACGAGAGCCACGGGACTTCCTCTCCTACGGCTGCGGCTACAGCTATGCAGCTAGCTAGTGTCCTCCTCCTCCGTCTCCGTTCCTACGAGAGCTACTACTGCTCTCTGCCACGGCCGCGACTGCTCCCACTCCCACAAGCACTCCTACTCCCACTCCCGCTATCTCCTGCTGTTGTACTTAGTGTGATTGTGCTTTACGTTCTTATCCGCGTGACTATGTATGGCCACGGTTCGAAGAGCTACAGTAGACTGTAGGATAACACGGGATGCTCCCTTGATCAGCCAGGCCGCCACGTGCTCCCCAGCCTTCTGCACAGCAAAGCTTTTCCTCGTGCGCGGAGAAGCCGGGGATTTCCTGAGTATGACTGCGCGAGAAATGCAAAGGGATGCAGACGTTTAGTTCCAGAAGCTTCAATTTGATCAATAGGACCATCGCTACTATTATGGCCGTTTAACCTATTCTTCGCCGTAACTAGACAACTGCAACCTGAAATCTTGCTCGTAGAACAAAGCGATCCAAGAAATGGCCTCGAAGCAGCACATCTTCCGGATGATACGCAACTACGCAGCTGCTGGGGTTGAGCTTCTGCCTCTTGCCCAGTTCTTGGATCTGAAGATCGTTTTGCCTACTCATGAATTCTGGTGTCCGATGTGCTTGATCAGATGATGATGACACCAGTGGTTTTGCCTGTATTCACTACCCCCTGGAAACCTAGAATCCGAAACCTGACCCCCCGTAAACCCCAAACCCTACACCCTGTAAGGCCCGGCGTCGCCCCATCCTCGGACTTCTCCTCGAGACTCGTTTGGCTGTCCCGGGGCGGGGGCTCGAAGCGAGCCTGCTTCTCCTGGGCTTCGAAGGACTCCGACGTCCCTTCATTCGGCAAAAAGCAACTCGAGAAGTGTGTGCACAGATGCAGCTGCACGAACACCTTGTATGTATACGTACAAACATCCCTTGTGCAAAATTCGAAACCTTACCTTTTAATCAACAAGATCATGAGGTCCTACAGCGAAACTCGAAACATTTGTTTGTTTAGCACATAGTACAGCAGTCTATAGTATACACTACATCACATCCTGAAATCCTAGATAGCGCAGCAAAGTGCATAGCGCATGGTGTAAAGCGAGTAGTCCACAGTGTAATGGGGCGGTTTTTAGTATACCTACCGCATACAGTATGCTGTCCATATCTGTCCAACGTATAATGGATCTGGTGCGGAGTACATATAGTGCCGAGTATATACTACAGCCTTATGGTAACTCTTAATAGAGCCCTTGCAGGAAACTTAGTTTCCATATCGCCATCTGCAACCTGAAGACAATCTCCCAAAGCAGACCCTTTTTTGAACCAGCTCTCTCTGAAGTGCCTCCCCTGTAAACCTTAATTACACCCTAAACCCTGAAACCCTAAACCCCTAATCCCCAAATCATTAAATATCATGATATCCAGTGTTGAGCAGGGGGTGCAGCGCACATTGGCCTGATCCTTCGGCTGCCGCAGTGTCCCCAAGTGCAGAACTCCCAAAGCCTAAACCCTTCGGGCTACCGGACTCAAGTCCAAGCCTACCGGGTTAAGGGTTTAGGGTTTAGTAAACCCTAAACAGAGCCAAGCCTAGCTTCCGACTTCTCCACAGGTGCTTCGGCTGCCGCCTGCGTTTCTTCAGGTTTCGTAACCTGCTGCATCTGCTGAAACCTTGGTCCCACAAGGAAGTCGCAGCTTTTCTAGGGTTCAGGTCCTGGGGCTTCGGGCCTAAGATGGGGGCCTAAAGAATTAGTGCAGTATGAGCATCCCCGTATACAGCCCCTATTCAGTTCTCTGACATGAAAAGGATGACATGTCAACAAGGCCCTTGTATCAATGGTGCGAGCTGGTCATCCAGGCCCGGGCACGATTTAGGACAAGTGGTGCCATGTTGGGTTGAATTGTAGTGCATTCTTTGAACATCAGCTGGCGCCTTCGCGATTTGAGCACATGAGGTTCGAGCACTCGTCTACGAACGGATTTCTCGCAGGCTCTTCGGAGCCAGGTTTCTATATCTAATTCATGCCCTACGAACCTTTGGAGAATTAGTGTTTGCACGTGGTAGCTCAAAGCAACTTACGACCGAGACACCACTTTTGAAGAGTTGCCATGCCCTGCAGGCTGCGCAGTCGGATCTTCCCCGACTGGAAAGTGATCTCATTGCGGGCATCATCCCATGTCAAGTCTGGAACCTTCAGGGAGGGCGCTGCCATTCTGCTCTGATCGAGGCAGCAGTATCTGATAAGCTTACAACAGGATGGTGCCATACCGAGACTCTGAGAATCTGGCGATTCAGATAAAGGTTGAGCGTCACCAGACTTGAGCTTGATTCTTGGCCGGGGAGGTCCAACATCTTCTGCTGCATCGCACATTTATAAGTCTCTTTTAGAATAATGTGCCGGTCGGTTTAGGAATATGGGCTCCTTTAATGCGTCGGCTCCGGGGCTAATTCCGACCGGTACCAAAAATTTGGGCGGTCTAATTAATGCGTTTTTTTTGGCTGGGGGGGCTTTTTTGGTGGCGGGGCTGTGCTTTTTGCTGATGGTCAATCTTAAGGCAGCCACGACCTAAACCCCCACCCAAACCCCCACCCAACCCTAAAACCCTGGCCCTGAAGCCCGAAAATCTCTTGCAGAATTGTTTCGCTTATTGGGGCGTCAGGAATGAAAATCTGTACTACTACTGTACTACTATTCTACAATGCCTTGATTATTGGGGGGGGGCTGGGGGGCTGCTAAGGTGAACCGCCGAATCGGGGATTGGACCCTAGCTCAAAAGAGGCCTCTCCAGTACTAAAGTTTGTATAAAAAATTAAGTTTTGGGTCGAATCTGGACCGAACCGAACCCCCTTTGGAAGGGTTTAGGGCTTCGGGTTTAGGGTTTGTTATAGGGTTTAGGAGTTTAGGATTCGTTAGGGTTTAGGGTTTGTTAAGGTTTAGGGTTCAGGGTTTAGGGTTTCAGGCGCTGGCTTTATGCTGTGCTTATTGGGGGAATGTGCTCACTGGCTTTATGCTTTGCTTATTGGTACTATTTCTGTACTATTACTGTATTACTACTGTACTACTGTGGTACTACTACTGTACTACTAGTGTACTACTGTACTACTATTGTACTGCTACTGTACTATTACTGTACTACTATTGTTCTACTGTACTATTATCGTACTACTACTGTACTACTATTGTACTACCACTGTACTACTGTTGTATAACTATTATACTACTGCACTATTATTGTACTACTACTGTACTACTACTGTACTATTATTGTACTACTGTACTATTATTGTACCGCACCAAGCTTCATACGTGGTCGATTGTGGGTGGGAGTGTGGGAGTGTAGGTTAGGGATGCAAAAGTGTTCAAAATGAAGGGTTTTTAGTCTTGGTAGTAATCTTGGAGCGATCGGGGCTTGGTTTCCAGCATTTGGTGATCCCCAGACCCCCCCGACCCCCGACCGCGCATTCGCGCAGAACCGCAGACCCTGCACCCAAGCCAGCCCCCAAACCCCGGCACCTCCCAATTCCCTGCCACTCAGACCCCTGACCCCTGTCCGGGGCTACCGGTTCCATACTAAACCGACCGCAACTTTTTGGTCGGGGGGGAGGGGGTGGGGGGGGGTACCCTAGTACTAAACCGACCGCCACATTACCTGTATAAGTCTCTTTTAGAATTATACTTTGGCAACTACCGGCCTCTAGAAGGTTGTAAACCTGCACGGGATCATTTCCCTGCTTCTGACCATTGTCCGCAGGGTACTGCTCCAGGGAACTCCCCCGCAAGCAGAACCAGGCAGCTGACCATTTGCCTGGCAGCTTCCGCATTAAAAAAAAAACAAACCCTAAACCCATGCTGTCTACTGTTATTTTATAGTATCATACCCCCCCAAAACCCTTATGAAGGCCCCTACAGTACCGTAACATGTTGCAATGGCTGCAGCTGCACATGCAGCAATTCCTAGCATGTGGCTACATGCAACAGCAATCCGGATTGCCCGCAGAAGTCCAGATCCCGTCGTGTCTGCCCTGAAAGACTCGAACTATTTTTGGCAGCCGGGCCTACCACCCCCTTACCATGGCGGATGTCAAGAAGATCTTCTAGCACCGCCATCAGTGCAAGATCTGAGCCACAAGGGCTTGCAGAAAGAAATGTCTGGTCGGCCGGATTCTGTTGACAAGAAGTGCATGCTACCAAGCCCGACATCCCCTGGCTTAGGCAGCCAGCAGGTTTCATCTCGGTCACAATCATTGACGTCGGCGCGACTTAGGTGGGCAGGGAAGACTTCACCAAACCTTTAGCAAAGCTATTTGATCTATTGTTAGTCCGCTGAGCGAAATCTGAGTGTGGTCGCAGCTCTGCTTGACCTGCCATGAACTTCTTGCTAGGGAACCTTGGCTTCCCGGCCCATCTAGGTGCGGAGATAGGGCTCTAAGACCCGTCCATCGAGTACTACAAGCCTGCAGCGTTGCGGGAGGGATGCTGTTTGATCCCGATTCAGCCGAACATATAAACACAAGAGAGGCTTCCCCAAACCATAACATCCTGGTTAGCCCTAAACTCCTAGGATCTACAAAACACGCTGAGCAGTTGAGAAGGCCTATCCACTTGCCAGAGCCCACCTTGCCGCATCCCTCCTTGCTGTACAGACGCAACGTGCAGGCGGTTACTTCCAACCTCAAACCCTGAGCCGCAAGGACGGGGTCTTTCACCCCGAACTCTTCTCGGCTCCGTCCCGGGATTGGGACTTGCGCGTGATCCACTTGTAGGTGTCCGGATAGGTCTCCTGCACACTTTCGGGCTTGAACAGGGTTTCAGGGAAGTTGATTTCGGGTCGAGGTCGTGCAACGTCAGCGCTCTGAAGCATCTGCTGGTTCTACCTGCGATTAAAGTACCATAGTTGCAGCAGGAACGGGCGAGCAGGCTTATGTCAGCACGTTTTTCGTTCATTCAACCGTAGCAGCACAAGCATCGTGCATCAAAGCAGAATTATACCTTGACAGCCTACCCACAACCGCATACAGCCGCATGACATCTTGCAGCAGCCGATATGAAACCCACATACAACTTCTCTACGTCATGTCAGCTTTGCAGTCTCGTGATATCTCGTGAGCTTGTAGACCGCGGCCTGCCCGCAGGCCCAAACCCAGATGTCCCTCTTTTTGAGGAGGGACGGGCGTGTACATGCCCTATGCCCGCCGCACCTCGACCTCCAAAACTATTTTTTGAGACCTTGCTGTGCGCGCTGTCGCCCACCTCGTCGCCTACACTGGGCTGCGGAGCCCTTCCATGAAGGCACCCTAGGCCTAGGCCTAGGATCCCCATCTCCCGAACGCCGACATCTTATCGGCATCCACGGTGAGGAGCTCCGGACCTTCATGGTGGCTCACTTCGCCAGGGCGCCAGTTCTGGTGTCTTCCCGGTCGACATCAAGTCCTGCAAGTCTTCCTCCCATCCTGAGCTAGCTAGAGTTTGACGAATCAGAAACGTGAAAATATGAAGCTGTTTCCGGTGACTAGAGAAAGCCTAAGTACACCGCAAGACAAGTAGCGAAACAACTGGAACATACCAATCTGTTCATACCAACAGCCCTCAAGGATGGCTTTCAAGGATGAAAATATGTCGTTCATCTTTGCCCCCACGAACGGAATATGCTGAGCTTAGCGGCCAAGAGCTTTGGCCAGCGCTCGGCAGCCCTCGTCACAGGCGCCTGCTGCGTCAGGTGCTGGCAGGTTTCTGCAGCGCGGTAGCTAAGCAGGCCGGCTTGTCATGCGCGTGCAAACGCCGCATGTTCAGTGCATCCACTACTGCAGTCACTCGATGTGGCTGCATTGGCCCAGCCAGGAACTCTCGCATACAAGGCGAGGCCTTCATGCCAAACATCTCGCCAGTTTGCCTGGCCTTTCAACCTCTGCGCAAAGGCAGACAGCAAGCCAGAAATCAGGCCACAAATCCTAATGCTCAAGTGCCGAACTGGACGACTCTCGACTCAACGACTCCAGACGCACCATCTCACCACAGCCGAAAATTACGAATGTAGGTCGCAGTAGCAACAAGTACAAGAGTACAAGAACAGCTCCAGGCCAAAAATCAAACGCCAAGGCGCAGGAAGCGAAAGCCTCTGTAGAGTCGGTCAAAGGTGCCGGAAGGCTCCCTGCGGCAAGGGCAGCTACCGTCCCTATAGTCTCCATTGTGGTTCCTTTCTTTGGTTGAACCAAGCCAAATATGTAACTGGGATCCTATAGGGTAACCAGGAAGGAACTGATGAAGTCAATAACCCCAAAAAGGAACTACAATGGAGACTCTAGGTAGGTTCTTCTTTGTGGGCAGCTAGGGTTTCAACTCGGGCACTCGCTCAACGCAGGCACGGCTTCATGGGTGGTTTAGGGGCAAAGCTGGATTAACGGCCGGGAAACTCCACCTTCAGCCGCACACCTACAGTGTAGACCTGGCTCTTCTCGAGCAGGATCTCTCATTGCCCATATACTCAGAATCATCAACCCCGTGTATAGAGTATAGACACAATTGCATAGTTTTGGTACGTGTGTATATGTATACTACCGTAGAAAACAGATTTATCTCCCAGCCACACAACCTGTACCCTAAGCCTTGAACTCAAACCGGACACCCCGCCTGTTGATGAGAAGGCGTGGCGTCCTGGAAGGGGCCTGGCCGACCAGCCCTGCGAATGGTTCGACGACGAGGGAGGTCCCCATCACGATGAGCAAATCCTTAAACGAGGAGAAGGTTTTAGGGTTGAGGGCTTCTACTCAGAGACTCCAATATCCCTTAACTAAGGAATAAATAGTCCTTAAATCATATTAGGGTCCCTACCATAGTTTAAGGAATATTCCTTAATTACAGGATATTGGAGTCCCTGGGGAAGTAGTGCCTTGTACGGATTGTAGATATGACTTTATCAAGGCGATGGACAGGTTCTTAGTGCGTGGCTTCCATGGGTGTGCATGAGAAACTTTTTTTAGCACCCGACTGCCTTTAGATTGTGCTTTAGACTGGCGTTAACCAGTCGTTTTAACACGTCTTCAAAGGCCTCTGCTGTTCTTGAACCTTCTATCTGATCACGGTTTGGAGCGCAAGCTTCTTTACAGGTTTCAGGCTTCGCGGCTTAGGCCGTAGGGTTGAAGGTTGCGTCAGACTGCTTGGTTCGGGTTTCAGATGAAGGGGCCTAGAAGACCCCCCGGGTCTAGCAGCACGAATCGACGAAAACGTGAGCAGCAATGCAGAAACGTTGAAAAAGATATGCCGCGAGTTTCAAGATCTTCCGAAGACCTTAACACTTGTATGTAGCACCATATCCCGCTGCATCCCGCTGTGTCAGAGCTGTAGAGGCTCGCATGCGTTCACTTTTGCACTGCCGACTGAGCCGGGCTGCTAATTACAAGTCCCACACAATATGAAAAAATCCAGAGCTTGTAACCAACATTTTTCCAGCCAGGCCACGCAAGCTTCCAGATCCGCATCACTGAGCTCCCAGAAACGGTCCGGCAGGCTCTCGCCGAAGAGAACCACTTTGGGTTTCCTTGCTCTAGATAGGAAGGACTACCCAGATGCGAATCGAGGTTTCGGGCATCCTCTTTCTATGCTGTCTGAAGTCCACTGACCAATTGAAGAGCTTCAGCTCTGCAAAATCCCAATTCCTCCCCAGCTTTGGGGCAATGTTTGATCCTGGATCTTGGTGACACCATCCTGCAGATGACAGTTTCCGGTTTCAGGAGCTTCAACCCTCTCTTTTTCTCAAGGAGTCCGATGCAGAACACAGAAACCAACGCACCCAAAACCCCAAACCACGCACCTCAAAGCCTCGGCGGACTCTTGGTTTCGGGCCGGCTGCGGAAGTTGACCCTAAACCCTAAACCCTAAACCCTAAACCCTGCAGAAGAGCGTCACGAGGCCGCCTTTGGCCTTGGCCAGTGCCCGCCAGCCTTTCTCGCCGGCAAAGACCGCCTTCCTGCAATGAGTCTCGGTTTCTTGGGAGGCTGTAGAGCTGGGACTTAGTAAGTAGGGTTAGAAATAAGGTAGCTATACTTATGACTACTTATAACCCCAATTAGGGTACTTATAAACCTACTTACTAAGTTCGATGATCCTCCAGGTACGGGTTTGAAATTTTGTTGATGAGCGCTGTCTGCGTGATTCCAGCCCTTCAGACTGTAGGGCTTACAGCTCGGAGGGTGGCAACGCTTCCTAGGGAAACTGGAGGTTAACCTTTGGAACTTTGGGATTCTCTCTCGCTCTCTCTCTCTGCCCTGCCATCATCAAGAGTCTCGCAATGCAAGGGCACGAAATCGCAGGCTAGAATATGAAGAGGCATAGCGCGAACTACCCTAAAACAATCGAATGCTACCTACTCTACTACCCAGAGACTGAGAGGCTATATCGGCCGACTCAGAGTCACTCGCTTCGACGGTAGCTTCCCAGAGCCTGCTCCGATCCTGGTCTCCGCTTTTACCATGGGCATAGGACTGTACACCCAGAAATAGGGAACCCTAAAGAACAGTACTAGCATCGATGAGGCTTCGATATTACGAGCCCTTATGAATCGATCCTTTCAACTTCGCTCGAAACTTGTCGACCAACCCATGAAAGGCAGGAAAGGCATCAAATGGCATCAAAGGGTATCCCTGCATGCTAGACAGGGATGTGATCAACTGACTTGTCAGTTTTGCGCACCGCAACCCTAAACCCTAAACCCCAAACCCTAAACCCGCTTGTCGCGCCTGAGCTCCTCGATGTCCACTGCCTGGAGCGCAGACGCTCTGGGATTGGCGGGGTCGTTAAACCTGGTTGGATGCTTGGGGGTCTCGGGTTTACGGTCTATGTCTAGTTGGGGTCGGATTTCTTTTGCCAGCCCAACTTGACTTGCTCCTGGCCCGCTGAGCGGTTGAGTCCTGTGCAAAAATGGATCGAGCCCCTTAAGTGGCCCAAAGGGCCCACACCGCAATCAGACACGAACCTCACAACAGTACATCTCTGCTCATGGCGCCCCTTGCAGACCAGCAACTTGCTCGGGCAGTTTGTCAACAACGTGAGCTTCGTCGAAGTTCCCGTGGGCCGCCACGATTTTCCTGTGCGCTGGGAGGATCGGCACGAAAACCCTTCGATGCCCTCTGGCGGCAAGTAAGTTCCTGCAGATGTCAGCTGGGCAGTGCATGTAAAATATGCCATCCCATCTGCCGGAAGCTTGGAATGGTCAAGACGAGCTCACGCAAGCTATCATCAGCCACCAAGGCACTGCCGGCTTACGCCAGCTTGCCGCTCCAGGGAATCCTGACTCTTGCACATACTCGTCATTTGGCCCTCATTTCTATGATCAAGCCTGGCACACCCGAACTGCAAACTCGAAAGATTGCCTT